GAGGTCCAAAGGTTTAATTCGGTACAGCAATTTCTGTCTTCCTTCCCTAATAGCATTCAGGAATTTAGTCAGCAGAGGAAAGGCTGGCGCATTGGATGGTCATTAAATTCTTTCCTTTCCTTCTTTCTTCTGGGGTGGGTTGTTCTTTTTTTTCATTAATTTTTTGCAGGCTCTGTCATGTACTGTGCTCTTTCATTTAATTATTGCGAACTAGCTGCGTGATTCATGTAATTCTTAATTTTATTGGAAAGAGGTGATATAACTACCTTCATTGGAAGTTCAGGAGATTTTTTATTTTTTTTTAAGCCAGCCCTAGTCAGACAAAACCAATGAGAAACATGGCCGTTTTGGTGTCGCTGCAGGAAATACTTTTTTTTTTTTCCTTTTTGATAGGCAAGGAAAAGAACACAGGACATGAATCTCTCTGATGCAGTTACAGAGCTGAAATGATACTAAACAAATGCACTGCCTCAGTATTTTTTTTTTGTGTTTTTTTAAGGGGGTTTCTATAAACAATTATTTTTATAAAGCACACTTTAGTTTACAATCTTTCATTATAACTGTTATAAATTTTTTTTAAACAACCCGAAATGCGTTCCATATAAAGAAATGGCAAGTTATTTAGCTATCAAGATTTTACATGTAGTTTTCTTATAATTTTTGTACAATTGCATAGACGTGTAAAACCTGCCATTGTTAACAAAACAGTAACAGACTTAGGAAACTACTGAAATCTACAGTATAGTACCACTACCCTTCACAAAAATATAGATTTTTTTTTTTTCTTGTAAACTCTTACAGTCTAATCCTCTTTGTAGTATGAATATTATAAAAACCATGCGGGACGCCTGAAGTTGTAAAACACATCTTGCTAGTCTAACACCTTGTCGTCGGTCATCACTGTCACTAAGGTTTCCATCGCTCTTCCCAAGTCGTCTGCCATGTGGAAAAGGCTCCCTACATTGTGGCCTGAAAAAGAAAGTCAAAGAAGAGGAAATTAAATGAAGAAGACATGGCAGCACATTGGTAGGAACATTTTACAGAAACGGCCAAGCACAGATCCATCACTCTCCACGTACCGCTCGCCGCCATCCCCAGTGGAGTACACCAGAGAGTACCCTTTCCAAAAGTCTCCTGGATGAGTATAGTATGTCGTCGTCAGCAAAAGTTGCCCATTTTGCAGAACACTTAACAGCAATACTGGCTTGAATGGCTATGGTAAACTATGTTGACAATAAACCAGCATGTTTGTGTTTCAAACCTCCCCCCCTGTAGTGATGAAGCTGCATCATTACGAATGTTCACCAAAAGCAACGATTAAATCCATTAACATCACAGAAAAGTTTCCAACTGGTGCTGCAAGTGTTTGACCATTCAATGTTCTACCAGGGAGAAAAACAGAAACAAACAGATCAGCAGTAGTTAACTAAATCATTAAACCCAAGAGGTCCCAGCGGGATACCTGAACAGATAGCTAAAATGATGACCAAACTAAACGGCTGCAGTTTATTCAATCGTTTTTAAAATACCCTTTGCTTTTCAGAGAGCAGTCCAGCAGAAACAAAGATGCCACTGTTATTGAGTAACTACTATACAGCAGTTCATTTGTGCATTTCTCCTCATCCGTAACCACCGTAAAGTCCTAAGATGGTATATCACAAGACACGAACCTCCTACATGGAAGTGATGAACAAATGCAGAGTACAGTTCTGGAGACGAAATCTGTAACTTCTCACACTCATTTTACCACTGCTGCAAATGGAAAGGAAAGGTAGCAATGCTGATCAGCAGTAAGAAATGGCTTCATCACAATTGGAGACTAAACAGACTTGAAGGTAGGGAGATTGAATTGCCAAAAGTTGCCACTTCAGGCCCTTGGCCTGGTTTCCAGCTGCTGTTCAGAAGAGTGTGGGTCTCCTCCAAGTCCTGTGTCAGATCTGCAGCCCTCTATGACTGTCTCAAATACCCTCTGGCATCTCAAATGACAGAGACATGGTTTAAACAGCTGAATCCCATCTGGAGTCTCCCTCCTGAAAAAATACAACTGAAGGGGCAATGTGACAGGAGATCTAGGCACCCTACAAGATGAGCATCCAAACGAGGACTGAGTTCAAGATTTCTTGCAAGGACAAGGAGGAACAAGCAGACAGAAGGTCTTAAAACAAGCAGAAGGAAATTATACTCCGCACAGCACATAATTGTATTACTGAGCTCATCGCCACAGGCTGATGTTGAGGCCAAACAGATAAATGAGTTAAAAAAGGAGTTAGAAAATAATCACTGAAGCAAGATTTATTTAGATGCAAAGAAGTGCACGTGACCTCCAACTCAAGAAGTCCCCACGCTGCAGAGTGCCAGCAACTGAAAGTATGTAACATGGGAAGTATTACTCAATGAAACTATACGTTGCTATGGCCTGTGGGGTTTGATTTACTCCCTCAGAGTATTTGTGATAGAATATCTGTCTGGAAAAACATGGGAGGTGCATCTGCCCACAAGCCTGTTTCCCAGGAACGCTTTGCATTAGCCTGGGTGCTGAGTCCTCAGCACGGTTCTTGAGCAAGGAGCACCCAAATAAAGAAAAGGTATGACCAGGGTATCCAGGATACACCTTTCATGCAGTCTCTACCTGTAATGTGCCAGAGCCTGAGTGTCACCATTGCCCACCTACACGGTGGGTGTCCCTCCTGACACAACTGTCTTCTCTAACAACAGGAATGAACCTTCCCTGTGGGGCAAATTAAACTCACCATCCTCTTCCAAATGTTCAGATGTTATGGTTGTCATGTACAGCTGACACTCCTACACTACATGGAAGCTTGGAGTGACGTTAGCTAATACTCATCAGCATTTATGGAATAGAAAAAAATGACCCAAGAAATATCCTGGGAAGCTTGTTTCTTCTGGAGAACTACTACGACCTTTCACATTCAACTACTAGTTTTTAAAGTTCTGTTTGATTTTTTGTTTTAATGTAGCATTCATTACACAAAACTAGGCAGTATCTAAATGGTAACTACTCAACAAGCTGCCTGTTCGATCGTGAGCTGTGCTGTGCATGGCACAGATTGCCAGGCATCAATACAAAAAGACACTTGGTTCTAATCTGGTGACGTTTTGCTAATTGCACTAATGCATAGAGAAACAGAGGCATCAAGCAGCAATTTCATCCATAAATCGTTAACAATAGCCATCCTATTCATCCTAAGCAAAATCTTGTAATTTGCTTATCAGCACGTCAAGTAAAAGAGTATGAAAAATTCCTGCCAAGTTTTGTTCAAAACATAGTTTACTTTAAAGTAAATGTATGTTACCACATTTATTTTAGATGTAAGGGATAATCTCTTTTACTGGCACCTCGCAGGCTGAGATCAATCCAGCAAATTACACCATGGAAAGTGAAAATTTGACAAAGTCATATGAAAGCAAGAACACATTTGAGATGGGAGATGCTTACGTAAACAGTAAGGTAACTGCCACAGGTTTGCTCTACTTACCCGAACAGGTAAAATTCTCAGGCACATTTGTTCTATCAAGGCTTTATTAGAAGCACCCTGGAATGATCTGAAGAATAACTAGAATGACCTGCAGCACCCCCACAAACATCCTGACCCTGGAACCTAATTTCAAGAACTCTCTGGGCTTTAAATACTCTTTTTCTTCCTCTCCTGCAGTAACCTACAGACACAAGACAGGGTGGTGGTGACAGTCATAATGGGGTAGCCAGGCATGAGAGGCACTGCTGCCTGTGGGATCATGGTTTCTTGTTCAGATTTGTTGAGATCTGCTGTTTCTATAAACAACACTGGGACTTCAGGCCTCTTCAGGGACTCCCAACACCACTTATTCCCATCTTGGGAAGAGTGATCACCCTTCCATGGATTTAAAGCAACCCAAACTGCTCAACTCCATCTTCAGAAAAAATCAGGATTTGTTAATAGTATTTTGTTCAGTCAGACACAGAGCTGTAAAGGTAACAAAGGCAAGGTGGTTTTATAGAAAAAGTCTAGGTCTAGAAAGAATAGCTTCAATCAAAAATACAGAAAAACATCTTTCAGAAACATGCCACAGTAGGTACAAACTGCTAAACCGTTCAGCCAACTAAAACACAGGCCAAGAGGACCTTATGCATCCAGGGATCCCTAGGTATTCTTTTAATGCGTAACAACTACAGGAATGTCTGCTAGGTTTTTTTCCTTTTCTCTGTTAACTGCCGCCATATTTTCGAAATAACCATGCTTCAGATCCGATCAGCTGCGCAGAGGCAGGCTGAGGTTACTAAGGAGGTGTGAGTCCCTCTCCCCCACACCATCCACCCTACCTTTCTCGCATGGGTCTTACTTTTCTCTGCAGAAAAGCTGAACAATTGTGTTTCTCCTCCTGAGCCATCTGAGTTTAAAGCTCAGAGCATGACCACAAACCACTGCTGACTGCAGTTTGTGTTAACAGCTGGACTGTAAAGTGCAACAGCTTGGGGACCGCAGTCTCTGGGACAGCCGCAGGATGGGAGGACAGGCCAGAAGAACGGGCAATATAGCCGTGCTCCATCCACTCAACTGGCGAACCTTCAGCTGGGTGTCATTGCACCGCCAGCAGGTTTTCTGCCTCTCTGGCAGATGGGAGGAACAGCTAGGTCAATGAAGACTGCAAATAGTTGAGAACGACATACGCGATAATTTCCTGGAACTGTATGTGCAATGAATGCACCCTCTTCTATAATGCCTGTTACCTAAATAAGAGCTCAAATTCGCTGACTGTTTCTGTATAGCTCTGCTGCTTCTGTTGAATACCGCTTACTTGCCCTCTCTAAGACTGAAACGTAGGACATTGACATTTTTAATTAAGAAGCAAATGAGAAAAATACTGTCATAAAAGGACTTAGGAAAATATAAATCATAGCTTTCCACTCATTATTATTAATATTTTAAAAGAATGCCACCAAAGAAGTCATCAATTCCATTCTTTCTTTTTTTTTTTTTTTTTCAAACAAAGCTGAAAAAGTTTTCTTCATGCTTGAGGCACTGAACCATTGAGACATGCTACTGTGTAAGAAAAAAACTACCACACGCTTTGAAATGCAGCAATAAAGCTCAAAACGGACATGGACAGTATTAACTTAGACTTATAAAATGGAGGGAATGTTAACACAGGTGCATTTGCTTTGAAAGCAGAAAACACCTATTTCTGCAGATACTAATTAGATCACTTCTGGTCACACACAGAATGACGCGTTTCACATCTGCTGAATTTGCTTTAGAGGCTCTACTGGAATTAAGGCCCTTGGGTGAGGGCGCAGTAACTGAATATCAATCTTACACTACAGCTAATCAGAGAAATAAACGCGGAGCATTCAGACTCCAAAGACTGGATAGAAAGTAAATTAAGAAGCCCCAACACAATGCAGTGCCTTTTTTAGCAGCACAGATTTCTAACCCTTCCCTGACAAAAGAACAATCCTTCCTGTTGGTGTCTTGGATTTTGATACCCTTATTCCTATTGAGTAATGCCATGAAATCCACGGGATTACACATGAAGACAATACCTAATGTGAGTAATGGGATCAAAACCTGCCCGGGTGGGTCTAAAACCGCATGATCCATCTTTGCGCAAATGGATTCACACATAAAGCAAAAGCTGTTCTGTACCTTAGGTCATATGCTTCATATGCAGGTGGAGAACTGCGTTCTATATTCATTTCTGCAAGTCACCAAGTCAACAAGCTCCCCCTGGAACCGTCAGTGAGCACAAATACAACTGGAGAGCGGTGAGTGATTCATTGAAGAAGTCAATGTTTTTTTTAGGGTTTGGCTGCTGGAATCTGATCAAGTAGGACATGCCTGTTTTTCTAACTTTCAAGTTTTTTTATTAATTGTATCAAATATGCCCCCCGCAGCAGAAGCTTATTATGAATAATATGCATAAATATGAATGAGGATAGTGGAAATCAACAACCTGTTTTGCTGAACTGGAGAAGAATTCTCAGACCGTATGGTCCGACAGCATACAGGGCTGAATAGGAAATAATTCCCATAAAATTTCTGGACCGCTGCAGACGGTTGACACCATACCAAGCACCCTTTTTTTGATCCATGTGAGAGGACCTGCCACTTGAGGACAGACTTAACCTGCACCGAGGATCTTCCTCCTCCAAGTAGCTGGACCTGTGCCAGCTCCTACAGCCAACGTGGAGAACTGCTGTATTACAAGGCACCGTGTTAGAACGAATCCTGGCGTAGCCTGGCAGTGACCGGGGGGGTTCCGGCAGCTCTACTGAAAAACCCAGAGCAGTGTGTTTCCATGAACCTCCCCCCACCTCTCTGCACCAGCAGAAGTCTGCAAAATGGGTTACCCTTTAATTCCTTCCTCATCCACACTGAATATCAGCTGTTCAGGAAAGGTCATTTCACAGCTACTTGCAATTGCACTCAGGCAGTCTCTGAATATTTTATCTTTAATAATAATTTTCGCTAGGAAATCACCTTTCAAACATTGTATCTGGTCGGCGAGTGAAAAGCAGCTTCACAGGGGAAAAGTCAAGGCTCTCGGGAAATACTTTCAAAGGTGCTATGACAACGCAGCGCAAAAGGTTTTCCTCCAGTAACAAGCAGAGACGTACAAATTCTAAAATCTATTTTGCATCAAACCAACCATGTCCGAAGTGCACAGTGAAAACCATTGCCCGTTTACATTGCTGAACACAACACTGTGGAGCTGGTGAATGTTAGTAGCATTCTTCATTCTGAAATAGTACATCAGGAAATTAAAACACCTGAATCTTATACCTCTCAACTCTCACTGTTCTAAAGAAAAAGAAAAAAACTAATAACTGGAGATGATGGCTGGTATATTAGCACGTATATGTTAATACAATATTGAGTATGTAAGCAGAACAACGAGAGACATGGGTCTCACTGTTGTGCTTACATACAAGAGCAACAGAACGTAAGCCAATGACTGCAGCACATTTACTGACCACCTTTATCATCCAGAGGCTTAATTTCAATGTATTATTTTCTCCTCCCCATTCCTCAGTTTCCACCTCTGGGAGGATGTAAGAAAATGCAGATCCCTGAGCTGACGTTGTCTCCACTGAAAGTTGAGAGGTACGCTACTGTTAAGAGCACACATGGGGAATGCACTCAGCAAAATCAAACACAACCCAAAGCAAAATGAAACCACCCCCCGCCCGTCATCGAACCCAAGCGAACCCGTGCTGCCGTCACACGCATGCTGGGCACAGAAAGCAAGCTGTGACAAACAGAAGCCATGGCAGTGAGCCTGCATCTCACTAACCTCTCTCACTGGCTTTCCAGGGGCATTTCTTCCTTTAGGAACAGAGAGAGGAAGTGGAAGAAATATCAGAAAAGAGAGGAAAAAACCACACATGAATAGATATTTTATACTGTAAGAGACACTTCAATTTCCATTGAGGAATTTAATACAAAATAACCGCATTTCTGCTTTAAACAAAGACTGAAAGTGCACTGAAATCTACTGATGATTCTGAACTGATTTATTCAAGAACATTGATCTGCAAAAACACTTGAGAAAACTACTAAAACACTTAGAGGCCTTTCAGTTGAGGATAAGGATGGCACAGAAGATCTGAATTCACTTTCTGAGCATCCAAATTTCCTCAGTTTGAGTACTTCTACTAGTCAGTATTACTGGTAAAATCATGTTTCCCCAACATCAAATTAATTCATCCAGACATGTTACATTTTATTATGCCCTACATACATATATACAGATATACAGTCATATATGTGTCATACACACATGCACACGCATTTTACACCTAGAGCTGTACACTGGAATAGAACATGCTCACATTCAAGATAAATATATTTTGAAAGATGTTTCCAACAAGCTGATCTGCAAGCATGGTAAAACTGAGTGGTCAGAGGGAGAAAGGGAGAAAAAAATTCAAGTAAAAGGGGAAAAAGGGAAATTAACTCATCACTTTCAAGCTGTACTGCCAAAACAGAGGAGTCATTAATGGCTTTAGCTGAGAAGATGTTCCTGATGAGCCTTCACAGAAGCCTTATTTTGATCATACTGATTCTTCTTAAACACTTATCATAGCACACTTGTTTTTAAAAAAAGAAAGCCAGGTGTCAATCAATAGCAGAAACACTCCCCCGCCCCCCTTTCCCATCCCGCAGCCGGTGACAATAAGATGCTTGCTGCCTCCAGAAGCATCATCCCACTGTCACTGGTACACTACTCCAAGCACCAGTATGGCCAGACTTTGTAGCTTTAGGCGAGAAAGTCACTGCGGTAGATGCTCTTCAAGAAAGAAGATAATCTTTGCCCCAGAGCTGTTGTAAATAATGTAATTGTAAACAACACATGGGACAACGGGGAAAAAGACAAATACATACAGGAGAACACACCGGTCAGCATAACAGTAACCTAATTGCTGTTGAGTTTTTTTCTAGGTATGGTGGCCTGCAGGAGAAGGGAAAGAAGACAATAAATAGCTTTGCAGGTATTTTACAAGGAGCAGAACAAGGGTCAGCAACAGGGCAAAGCTGAGCAGAGGTGGTAAAGGAGAGGAGGAGAGGGCAGAGGACGCGAATGGCATCCCTGACCACCACAGGTCAGAGCAACCACTCAACTACAAACTCCAGAATGGCAACAGAAACTGCCGGGGCAACCTCTGAAGGGGCCTGGGCAGCAAAGGTTATGATTTACACAACAGAGGAAGCTTTATTCCTTTCCGTCCCCTCTCCCCAATAGCACACTTACTATCAGAAATTATAACAGGTTTGAAGTCATGCTCTGCATGTGGGTTTTTATTCTGGCCCTAAGGGGAGCCTTGACTCAGGATATGTCTATACTGCATGTGCTGGTAGTGCACAGAGGTACCAGGGCGAGCTTGATGGCTAGGAGAGGTGTAGCTTCAGTTCTAAGGGCTTGACTTTGCAGGCCTGCCTAACTATCCAGGACTTACATGAGCACCTACACAGCCTGCAACCTCCTCTGGTGCTTTTACCAGGAGCTAGGAATGCTAAAAAAAGTGCCTCCCAGGAGGGAAGATGAGAACCTCTCATTGATATAAATCACGTAACAGAAAATCCTTGAAAATGAAGGTATAAAGTCCATTGCATACTTTGGTCTTCTTGTGAGGAACAGCCCCAAGGTTTAGATGAGTAGGTGGTCTACCTAAAGCCTCCAGAAAACGCAGCATGGTGCAGCTGGCTGTGCAAGAGTCCTGGGGCATGAATGAGATCCAGCAGAAGACAGTTTAGCTTGGGCCAAGGGTTCAGAAGGAACTGCCTAAGTGCAAAATACTGGACCCTTTTGGAGGTCGTAAGAAATGCCTGCCTGTCTGCACAAGCACCTAAAATTGCAACTACACAGTGTCTCATTTAAATATCTACAGGAGACAGACTGGATTCTGCTTGAAAATGAATGCATTGAAAGGTAACTGGGGTAGCTCTGCGCCAAACAAAACAGCTGGTGAGTAATCAGCCCTAGAATTCGTTAAATGCAACAAAGAGTAGCACTACTACAGTAACAGCTAATTTCTTTTGGAGGAAGATTAAAAAGGGTTTAATGGATTTTACTTTACTTTCTTCTTTGCATATGAATGAATGTGTGTCTCTAAGTTTTCAGGCAAGGAGTATGGTTTGGCATAAATTGCAGAGGAAGAAGATTGTCTGTGTTGCTGCAGTTCTGAAAATTTGTATTCTATAAGGTATCAAAACACTGATACACAGTCCATGGGTGCCTAATTATCTATTATTCTTGCTCAAATCAAGATTTCCTGCACTTACAAAACAGAAGAGTTTCTTTCTTTTCCTTTTTTGGAAATCTACATGATGTTGTATCATAGGCTAAGGTACATGGAGAGTGATCAAATCAAATCTGAAAGCAGAGGCACTAATAAAAACTTCAGGCATCTATGCAGATTCAGCTCAAAGCAGAGAACACAAAGCATCTACTGCATTACCCCTCTCTCACTGAATGCAGGAGAGGGACAGGCTGTATCGGGGAGAGATGTGGACCTGCAAACAGCTTTTTTTTCTTAAAAAAAAGGTTCCTTGAAGTCTTGTTAAATTCATTAATGCATTCTCAGTTTACATCAGGACTGAACATTATAAATCACCAAAGATCTAGTCCTCCCCATCGCTATCCCAGCAGAAATCTGCAGAGAGGCTCAGCCACTTCAGTACTGTTGGGCCACTGGGGAGTGACAAGGGATCTCAGTCATCTGGGCTCACCGATGTGGGAAACAGGACCATAGCACAGAGAAGGGGATACAGTCCAGAAGAGGCCAGGGTAGCTCAGTTGGAAGAGTATTTCCAGAATACCCTAAAGTGTAATAACTCCAGGGTACTCTTCCGCTGGTTCAGTAAAGTGTGAAAAGAAAAGTATGCATCGTAAGATGTTTGGCTGTCAGAACAGGAGAAACGGCTTTATTTGCAGTGCTGAAAGTTGCTAGTTCCACTTAGGACATTAGTCCTATTCATGACAGGGCCCAGCTGATGCACGAGTGAGAGGAGAGAACGCGTCTGGTGTGTTTTTATGTGACTGGGATAAAAATAAAATAAAATTTGTAAAAGATGGTGCTATTCTTAGTGCCATTTATTTATTGCTGTGGGGTCTTGTAATTTCACTGCACAAGACAACATCTGTATTAAGCAATACCGTGTTAAACAATAGCGGTGTGTACCGATCCCTCTCCAAATGTTTTCACATGCTGTCATGGCCTCTTAGGTCTTTTAAGTCATGCTGGTCTCATTTCTATCCACTTCTTGGCTCCCATTTCCTCGTTATCCACCAGCCTGGGAAGCTCTCTCACCCACTGCAGTCAGCTCAAGAACTTCGGCCCCTAAATTCCTCTCTGAGTTTCATTCATAGAAAGAATTTGCCACAAAACCATAACCACGAAACACAGCCTGGTCCACCATGACATCCACCTGAAGCGGTGGAATTTGTTTGCCCTCACTCCTGCAGAAAGAGGAATTTGGCTTTAAAAATACCGGCCTGCCAATCTTACTTTCTAACTGTGAACCAGCTCCCTGGAGATTTAGTAGCTTGGGCACAAATACAGCGTGAAAATGTTTTCCTCTGTGGCCCATTATCAAGCAGGGTCAAATAAACCACTGAGGTGGTATTTAATGGTAGATTTCCACTAAATGTCAGACCTCTGGCTTTGACATCTGTTTTGAGTTAGCGCAGCAGCTGTTTGAAGCAGCTGCGGCAGTTGTGAATTTGCTGGGAGCGGCAAAGTAAAAGAGGAACGGATGGGAAACCTTGTAGATTAAAAGGAAAGAAAAATTCCGTAAGGACAGCAATCATCAGGTATTCAGCAGAATTTCCCTCTCCAGCTTTCAGCACCAACAGTCAGCTGTGCAAGGAGCATGGAAACCCGTTGCTCCTTAGGAAACGCCAAGAACTGCCAAAAGGTTAAACTGAAGAAACAAAAAATCCCACCAACCTATAAAAGGTATATAGTAACACAAGTTCTTGCATCTGAGATCTGCTTATCAAGGTCTATGACACAATTTGTTTAACACGTGCTTCTCTAAAATACATTCAAAATGATGCTATGAGGCCTTGGTCCCCTTTTAAAAACAACACTATGCAGCAAAAGCTTGGAAAGTATCATAATCAAAATGAATCTATCTCCAGGTAAGTGACAATTAATTGCTACTACATTTTACTGCTTTGTTTCAGAAGTCCAAAATACGAGCTACTACTTGCTTTAGAAAACTATTTCCCAACCTAAGTAAATTTTACTCTTCAATTGCTTTTGATGATACTGAGACTGAATATTTTGGTTTTAATTTGTATCCTGTGATGTTCAACTACACATCTGAGCACCCAAGCACAGCAATTCAGTCCTTTTCTCTCTTCACTGCTTATTCAGCTCTGAACTCTTCTCATGAACCAAAGCCTTCAGAGTCCTGTTTGCTCTTGTCATGTTGTTTTGCGCTCCTCCACGTTGTTGTTATCTTAGTAACAACAGGATACTAATTATGTTCCTCATTCAAAAGGCGTATCACTCCCTACGCTGTGACATGCTGGAGCTGGATATTTGGCTTGAAATTTAACATGCTTATTTTTATAGGCCATAAAGGAAACCCACAGTTAATGTCCTGCCAGTAACTTCCCAGGTGTTTTCATACATCTCTAGATTTCCTCAACTGACTCCATGTATTAATTTCAGGGTATTTGTATCAATGTTTGTCCCTTCCTGGATTTCAGTGTGTTATTCTTACTTTCAATGTAGGTAGGTTTTGGCGAGTGCCCTGTGTCCTCTGCAGCCCTTCTGGAATTGCATGGTCTATGAATACCGTAGCAGACTTCTCCTTCTACAGCATTAGTATAGAAATAAACAAAGCTGCTTCTAGTACTAGTCAATCTTGGGCATTTAATCCATCTTCCTTCTAGTTTTAATTCCTAAAGATAGTATGCATCACATGTGGTACCACTTTACCCAAGTAGTTTGAATTCACCTTTCAAGTAATATTTCATAAGCTCCCGTATCACAACACACCTCTGATTGCCCAACTGGGATGACTGAGTTTCTTGCATCTTACAATTTTTTAATTCTAATTAAAGAAAATGTTTTCTTTATCGATCTGTGCTCATTGCTTGTTTGGGCTTATTGTTGTTTCCTGAATACCAACAAATAGCTTGAGGTTCAATGCAACCTGTAATGAGAAGCAGTAAAATATTATGCGTACCACATCTGAGTCCTTACACTACACCCTCTGCTCAGGCTGCTTTGCCAAACTGCTTTCACTGTTTTGCAATTACACTTTGATCTTTTATTATAGATTGGAAACCTGAGATACAGATTTGCACCTCTCAACAGCAAAAAGGTCTCTGATTCCGTGGTTTGTTGGAACCAGTCAACCCTGCTTCCTCTTCTCCTTCCTGCAGTCTTCTAAGTAAGTCGTATCCCTGACGCCTGTGGAATCTGACTGACTGCAGCATCCTTCACGATGAAGGTCTACACGAGGCTGCGGCAAATTAGCTGTGGATGTAAGCTTTGCTCATGCGGGTGTCAGCTGAATATCATTTAATTGTTAAAATGGGAGTAGAAGAAAACTCCAGTAACTAAAGTTTGCACGAGACCTCAGCGAAACTGATGATGTCAGTAGCTTTTTCTATATTAACCAGTGAATGGAAATCCATCTGCACTGGTTGTAAGACAAACTATTTCTCACAAAGGGCCTGACCCTTCCTATTCCTCAACCAAAAACAATTATACAACCCCGGCATTCATGCACATGCATCGAAAGACACAAGAAAAACAGAGAAGCCTAATTGAAGTCCTAACCTCTTTAGTCAAAGCCTCGTAAAATTCTCCAAAAAGTGAATGACTTTTTCTCCCAGCCGGACTAATCTTTTTGTGTAGCCAAAAAGAGAGGAAGAGGCAGATTCTGGCTCAGCCCGACGGTGCCTTGGTCAGCCCCAGAAGAAAAGTCCTGTGGGAAGCTCGGCTCTGCCTGACAGCCTGTGCCTGCCCCTGGCTGCCACACCAGAAGCTCCTCTCACGGCTTGGCTGAGGAGAAGACACGTGTCAAAGGCTGTGCCACCTCCTCGCTCAGCCCTTCACACATCTAGGGAGTATTTTCATCCTCTACGGCCGCTAGTCAGGCAGGGAAGTATATAAGCCGCAATCTTTTTTAGGTATGCTTGTGATCACATACTACACTTTTAACATAGTTACTGAAGGGAGAAAGAAAATAAGGGAATACATTCTTCCTCTGTATTTAAATAACCACATTTTCATCACCAGAATGAAAATGTGAAGTTACAGCTTAACTTGTGCAATTAAAATATTAACTGATGTTACCAATTTCAAATCTTTTTTTTTTCCCCTCCCACTTACACTTCATATTCTGTCAGTTTGATTCATGAAGCTTTGTATTTTTCACTAATAAAATAAAATTAAAACCCTTTTCTATTCTCAGTCAGTAAGGACTGGTCTCTACCTATTTATACACAGGAAATGAACCGCTGTATTTCAAATATCTCATTAACTGTTGTTTCATAAATTGCTCCTATTTTACTTAAAACTAAGCTCATTTTTAAAAAGAAACACTGTTTGTTAGTGTCATCAGCTATGATTACAAATTAGATACCGCATTTGGCAAATATTTTAACACGTGGGGTATCTACATCTCGACATATACGATTATGCAAGATCTCCTAAATACAACATATTTACACAAATGATGGTCACTGATAAGAAAGCACTGGCTGTTGCAACCTTGTGTACACAGCAACTTTAAAAATAAGTCCATTTTTATCTACATACCAATATTTGAAACATTTTTCATCTGTTGTCTCTGATAATTAATATCTAGGCCAAATGAAGGCTTTTTCGTATAATGTTGAGGTGGAGATGAATGTAGTTAACAATATATTGTATTAGCTTTTCTTCAATAATATCTTTCTAAAATGATTCCGTCTTTTGATCTATAGCATGAGATCTTGTGCAGTTTCTACTGCCTTCTCCTTCCACTGCCCACAGACGATGCCTGGTGAGAGCTGAGCTTCTTTGAAATCAAAGGATGGAGAAAACTTGACTTCACTGAAAGTCTAGCATGATGGTTAACGCATTTATTTACCAAAGAAGAACCTCTGGGTGATGTGTGAAACCTATGTAAGGGGCCCTAAGGTAAGTCTGTGCCCCTACTGAAATCCACTTAACAGGCTGTCAATAGACACCGGGACTTTCTTTTGCCAAGAGGTTTATGTCTGAGCCTTCTTTCACAGCAACAGGTAATATCCCAAACTTCCCATCTCCTGCTAGGAATCTAAGCCATTTTTCTTGGCAGCAGAGTATTTTCTCTGGGCTCAGAAAAGACCTTCTTAAATAAAAAAAAAAAAAAGTTGAACAAATAAGTTCCAGTAATACAAATGCTTATCTTTAGCAAACAATGGGAATGGGCAAAACAGAAACACTGAAAGAAATGCTCTGGCTGTCCGCACAAGCGCAGCCCACGCTGCACAAGCACGCAGCCCACTTGTTTTCCCTCCATCACTCCGGACGCCAGTGCTACAAGGTCGAGAACTTTGACTCAGAAGTTTAATATTAGTTTGAACCAGACTCTTCTTGGAGAAAGGTAAGGACAGAAGAAAAATGTGCTAAGACATGTATTAAAAATAAATCAGCAAGGGGACTGACTGGAAAGGAGAGAAGCTGTGAGAAAAGGAACGCGGCAAAAGGAGGGAGAAGAAAATGCTGAGGAAAAAAAAGAGTCTCAGACAGACATTGTTTCATCCACATATCTAGCAAGGGCTACCTGTGGAGGTAGCTTAAGGTAAAGGAGGAGCAGGCTGCTTCTCCACTCTAAATAAGACAGGTTTCTCTACAGCTATTGTTAAAACGAAAACAAAGAGCAGCAAAAAGCCTGAAACCAAAACACAACCCCCTGAAAACATCAAGGAACAGAAAGCACTTTTATCTTCTTCCCTCTCATCTGCCGTGGGCAGCGATGCTCACCTCTGGAGCTGGGGAAGGAGTTGTTCAGCTGTTCCATCACTTCCTCCAAACCTGTGCTTGTGTCCTGGGGAGGGCTGAGCAGCTCATCCTCGCCTGGAAAGCAAAGCCACACCGCTGCGTGAGAGCCACTGTAAACCCATTTGCCAACAGCTTGCGATTGCGTACGTCCTTCATGAAGCTAAGGCTGTTCACGTAAACACATCTTCTGCTTAGTATACAATCAAAATTGTTAAAAAGGTGAATTTTGTGGACTATTATGTTTCTTTCTTTTTCAGGATCTAAGTGAAATCAAACAATGAATTTTAAACAATTAACACTGACTTTAATTAGTAAAAAAGGATTTAAGAAATAATCTACTCGGGTAACAGAAGTGGGGTAAAATGTCTGCTAGTTCCATAAATGACACTCGTTGTTTCCACTTCTATTATTCTATTAATGGAAAAAGAAATTGCTGTTGTGAGTGCTGCTATTGAGCACCTTCCTAATAGTGCTGGATTCATGTTAGCACTGCTTTGCCTAGCTGCGTAAATCAGTAGAAACCCAGATTCTCATCTGCATCAGTATTAATATTTCTGACAGTTTAATTGCATCAGATTGGCGCTCCAAGAACATTCAATTGTACTGTAAAAGGGTTTAGCGGCAGTTTAATAAAGCGAAATACATTTCTCCCACTGAATAATTTCTATAACCTGATTATAGGGCAGCAGCTTAATGGGAAATTCGATACATTTTATTTTTACTGGGGTTTTTTTGGTCATGGCTTCAGATAACTAAAATCCATATTTTGATTTTAATGTAGACCCTAGCCTCCAATACAAATAAAGCATCTGAAAAAAAAGAATACACCTAAAGGATACACTTTGAGTGAGATTCTCCTTTTTTACTAGATTTCTTTTACCCCTATTAAAACACAGAAGCAATTTGGCCTACTGTAGTAACCATGAGGTACATCCTTATTTTGAAAATGATTTAATGACCCTTTATTCTAACATTACTCACCTTGAGTAATAAACTGCCTGATTTTCTGTTAGCATTTACATTCTTTAAACATTGAGGCACTCCACGCTAGTGGAAAGCCTACTAAAAGAGATGCTAAAGGAAGACTCCAGGGCTGCATGCATTACCTATTATTAGCCTTAGTGTCAGCCTCACCTTAGGGCCAGGAGTTTCACAAGAGTTATTACTGACCAAGAGTAATTCTTCGCACTCCAATACAAGAAGTGGGGTGAAGTGTCTGCACAAAGCCCTTAATTCATATAAGTGATGATTTTCATATCAGTTTCTTTTATTCCATTAATGGTCTAAAAATAGCTGCTCAGACTGCTTGCAGTTTGTTCAGCTTTCGACTGGTGCTGGGTTCACACAAATCAACTCACACCATGAGTTACTTTCGCATCAAGTGCTGCACCGACAGAGGTGCCTTAGTAGAACTAATGTCTGTGCAGCCTCTGCTGCACGTCAAGGTGAAAACTCGGCGAGCGAGACCTTGCTGCTTCTACCCAGGCCACGGACCTTAGCAGCATGCCTGCAGAAAGCCACCTGGCCCCAGAGATCGAAAGAAGAGGGCAGCGGTTCTGCTGTCCTGGCCAAGAAGAACTGAGACAGCTACTGGCTTCCAAATGTCCTGATAAGAGCTGATACAAACTGAACTGTGTTGACCCTCAAGACTGCTATATCTTTCATTTAAAAAGCATTATTTTTATTTTTTTCTCCTTTGGATGCTCCTTTTGGAGCATTTCCTTGTGAATGACAAAATAAGACATCATCCAAGCAACCCAACAAAAGTAGACACCTTCACACCTCAACTACCTCTCTTTACCCACAACATTCTTCCCCATACCTGTTTCTACAAAAGGTTTGGAGAGCTGAGTAGGTCTCAAATATTCTGGTGGTACCTCAACAAACTAAAGTTCAGCAACAGCCTTTTGGCTCACATGCCTCTGAGAACCTCCTCTGCTGCTACATTACTAGGGGAGAAAGGCCAAAAATCAGGACTTTCCAATCAGGACTCTATGAGAAGAAAAGCAGAACCTTTCCACTTGCCCAGGTGTATTTCAGGAAATCAAGGGAAAAGCTCTTCTATTTGTAAATCAGAATCTGAGTGGGTTGCTGCTTGCTTTTACCAAATGGCTGGACAACATTGCTGGTGGAAAACCTTTTACAGTAATCTCTCCTTGAGAAAGCAGAGAGACAAAGAAGTGCAGTGGGTCCACAGTCAAAGAAAAAAACCTAACGTCTTTCAAAAAGAAAAATATATGAAAGCTACCACTACATTACCTCATTGCCCGAGAGACCTAGAGATCCTCAGTAGCTTCTCCGAAACTATGACTCCCTCATTACTGGGCACGCGCTTGCTGCATGGGAGCATTATTTGCAATACAGCTCTGGTTCCCCTCACAATTCAAGAATATTTTAAGTCGTGCTTCAGAAAATTCTCGGACTAGCAAGCAAAGCTTTCTTGTGTGAATGGAGACTCAACAAACTGAATTAGTTGCGGTTTGTTAACTCGGTTAGTAATTCTTTTTATAAGCTCAGCTCCATGCTGCCAACAGTGTTGTTTTGCTGTGTCTCAATACGATCATACTGATAACAATTCAACATCTCACTGTCCTTCCACATATTGGCTCAATCGAACAAACAGAAGAACCCAAGTCATGTCTAAATATTTGCTTTAAAAAAGTCTCAGCAGTTTGTATGATTATATGCGTGTTAATTAATTAATTAATTCCAGTCTCACAAGTCAAATGCAAATTATTTCATACCAAGTCAAATGAAAAGAGGTACATTACTGTGTTTTGTCCTACTAAAACAATGAAATATGAAACCATAAAACTTTTAACAAGATGGCTGGGAACCACTGTCTTCCTATTTCTTCTTGTGTATTTTAATTAACATATTTTATGTGATGAAATTCATGACATTTCTTCAGTAAGCTCATGTAAATTACTCCACTGATATATTCTGTCTACTCTGTGTGTGCCACACACAGCAAAACATTTGCTCACTAGTAACACAATTGCTGCTACCTGTGATTGTATTCTCACCCCCAGGATTTAAGTTCAGCATTCCTAAAGGTACAATTTCTTTCACATTTTTTGTTGTAGGGCATACCGACCCCATCTTGTTTGATGCCGGCACAGGCTGATGTTATTGCCTACACTCGGGATGGAAGAAAAAGCCCCCAAACAAGCTGCATCTCCAACCACGATGGCACTTCAGACAAAGCAGAATGTCCCCTCCCATTCAATTTCTCACTGTCATCGACTCGTTCAATCACCGCAGTGAAAAGCTCTCACTTAATACTCTCACTCTCCCCCAAAGCCTCTCTCTAATATACACTAAATAAATTTCTGTGTATGAAGCTGAATATTATCATCAGACTTCAAATATTATCTTGTTGAAGTAATTTAAGCCCGTTTGCTGAAAGGTGCTGCAACGGTTGATTGCCTTTTTACTAGCAGAAAATCCTTACTACTTGGTAATAAATACTTGTTAATTATGCAACTGATAGGAATTACAAAAATGCTACAGAGCAGTTACTAAAAGCACAAAAATAATAATTCCAGTCTCTAGCTACAGAATATTATTACTTAACTTTACTCCACAACTCGCATGAAGTTCATTATCATGTCTGACGTGGTATTTCGGAAAGACGCTAGATAAGCAATGCGTATGAGTGACAGCTCAATTCTACTGATTGAGCCATGACATGTTAAAAATAAGATCACATCAGTTAACATGGGGATGATTAATCATACATTTAATCTCTTAGCCACAATTAATACTATGGACATTTAAATCAGCCATGTCATCTTTAATAGCTGAAAGTCAGTTTGAATAAAATAGTTAGCTTTTTAGTGATACTTGCTTTCAGAAGTCAAGGCCGGGCTGAGCTTTGTGTTTAATGTCAAAACATCCATGCTACTGTGTGCATCATAACCAAATGCAAAAGCCATGAACATGTAAACAGCCAGATGACATCAAAGACCATTGCAAATGTCTACTTTCTCATTTGAACTAAACAGGAGAGCAGTGCTTTCTCTTTTTAAGGATTTTTCTTGCTGCAAAAAGGGACTACAAATATTTTTTATGACAATCTGAACTTTGTTATCTTACCCATGGTTTCTGAAGTCTGGCTGCCAACTACACGAAGAAGCATTGGCTGACTGCTGTCTGACCTCTGCAAAGAGGTAGAAGGAGATGATAGTGTTGTACCATTCACCTTGGCATCTGCCTGGGGCTGAAAATCGAAGAAAAAAAGAGGAGATTGTTATTAAAAGCTCAGTACAGTTGCACAAATCTTTATATCTCTGCATTTTTTATTTATTCCATGAATACACACAATTTTCTGTTTTTAAGTAAATATATCCATGCAAACAATGGATTTGCATTCTGAATAAAACCAGGAAGAAGACTAACTAAGAACACTAAAACATGATTTCAGCTTCTCGCTCCTCAGCTTGTAGAACAATTTAGTATTTTTCTCTGACTAGCCTTACAGATAAGATTTCTTGGCCTGTTGTCGTCATAGATAATACTTCACACCCTGTTTGGAAGATGACCCAAGAGAGATCTAGAAGAAAGGCCTGAGGACTCACCTGCTCCAGCAGCTGCCTCAGTCTGTGCAGCTGTGACTCCAGCTGTTTGTTGTGATCCTCCAGAATCTGCATCCTGGCCTCCAGGCGGCCCTTGTGCTGGCGAAGCAGCTTGGCTTCTGCAATGAGCTCAGCATCCCGGGGGCTTTGCGGAGAAACTGGCATCATCTCCGGTGGGGACGGCAGTGGAGACAGTCCTTTGTGGTCATGCTGTTGCTTCAAGCGGTCATACTCTGCTTGCAAGTTTCTGTTGAGAAGTAACACGGAGGTAAAGCTTTAGAAAGCTGAATTGGGTGCTGAAGAGGGTGCAGGCCACCCTCTGCATAGGGCAGGGAGGGAGGAGGCACCTCCTCTCCTCTGGTGTGATGTGATGAGTCTAACAGCCAGGGGGCAGAGGCTCACCTGTACCACCTGCCTTTCCTTCTCGTGAATCCACGTGCGTGTAGGCTTACACCTCGCAGATTTGCAGGCAGCTGATGTTACAGGGACCTGTGCTACAAGCATTGCCTAAAGGCTCTCCGCGTCACCAGAATTCACAATTAATTCCCTCCCCAGGGCACACGATGCAGAAGGCTGGCTGGGCTCCAGACATCCTCCCGAAGCCCGGGTACGGTCTGTCCTGGGCTCAGCCCTCCCTCGGCTTCCCGCGCTCCATCCTTCCTAGCAGAAGTCGGACTGCTTGTTCGCTTCCACGCACGAATACACTCGAGGAGTAATTAGTGCTAAAAGAGGACGTTGAGTGATCAAAGCACTTCACAAACACTAATCAAAGCGGACGCCACCTGGCCAGCCTATCTGTTTTACAGATGAGAAAGCTAAGACAGAAAGGCGGCCACACAAAAAGTCAGAGCAAACCACAGAACTCAAGAGTCCATTTGCAACTCTGCTGTCAGCAGTCAGGTCACAGCACTCTCTTCTCTTCATATTTGCAACTGCATCTCCAGCCCAGTTCTAATATTACTAACCTAAGACGAGGAAAAGACAAATTATTGAGCCAAACTGTTAACTTCTGCGGCTGTAATTTCCACCTTCATTTGGACTGCCCTGTCTGGAGTGTTGCAATTCACTGTAACTTTATGGCACTGCTAAGCTTGTGCTTTTATTCTGTAAAATTCCAGTTTTACTCCAGTAAAACACTCCACAGAATAATATGATCTATAGAGGTCCACATGAAAAAAAAAAGCTACCAAGCAGGAAGAGCACAGAAGGTAAGAAACTGACAGCTTGTTAGGGATAACACAGTCCAAACCCGCAAAAATAGCAACTTGTAACAGAAACTCTGTAGGCAAGGGAGGCCTAATAAACTGCACTGGGATTTTGTTGCGATGATGTTCCTTTACAGCTTCCCAGAGCGGGGGAAAATGGTTCGACGCTCTGGTAACTGCTTACTCATCACAAGCAGTGACCCAGATTTTATTTTTTCCAACTCGCTTTTATTTGAGGTTGTGAGAACAGGCACTTTTTGCCAGTTCTGCCTGCAAACCACAATACACACTGACAGTTTGGTCTGGAGGCTTAATAGCACCTCAGAAACCTCCCAATAAACTTTATTAAGCTCTGAAACACTTCTAAAGGTACGTTATTGTGACCAGAACAAGAACTAAAGCAGTATGCATCATTTCACAAGGATAAGAAAGCACCGCCAAGGACAAAGACAGGCTACTGACTGTTCTGCAAACGTACTTGTGCCCCTCTGCAGCTGCATGATGGACGTGTCCTAACCTGGGACTGTGGCACCCCCCCAAAACATGATCCCTAAGGGATGTCTTACCTACACAATCTCTCCTCTGCACAAGTTTTAAAAGGTTAACAAATGGGGTTGATCACTCTTAACTTCAGGTTGTTCTAAAATTCAAGATTTCTTTCCCGAAAGCCCACACAAAGAGGGAAGACTATGGAGACATTTTTTTTTCAAAGAAAGTTTTTGTTTTAACAAAATATAGACTTTCAAGTTCATGAAAAATATCCAGAAAAAAGAAAGAAGGCCTATAACTGGGTGTTGCCTTTCACACGACTTAATGTCTTCTGATACTTCTAGCTGAATGAACTGGTGAATAATTAATAAAAACGCAAAAGGGAACAGGAATGAGCATGACAACAGTATCACACGCAGTCTTACTGCAGACTAAAGTTTATACAGGATTGATCATTAAGCTTGTTTTTCACAAAGTCTGTAGATAGCGGCTATCACTACCCCATGAGGAATTTCCCAGATGTATGATACAGGCAGTACTCTACAAACAGCAGACTCAAAAGTTTGAAGTGCTATAAAGCAAAAGATAAAATATCACCCTGTGGGAAACTAAATAAATGCACTTGGTCATACCTGAAATGTAATCAGGTACTCTGCTACAAAGAAATCTACAATTACTGCTTCAACTATCAATATAGAGAAGTACTTCCAGTAACAATGGTAGTGAAACCCAACTGCGGATCAGTGAGTAATTCAGATAAAATGTCTTCATGTCTGTTACAAAATAGTAAAAACTCTTTCTGAAAGCCTACAGAAAAAAAATAATTGTAAAGCATACTGCATATTATCCAAGCAGAGATTTGTCTGAATTTGGAAGTTCTGGAATTAAATACAGTAATATTGTCAGAACAAAGGATTGTCATTTTGAAGGATGTATGTGAGTTTGCCCAGAGCACCTATGTCACTGAGTTTTCCAGCTGCACCTTTTCTGTCCAGCTAAACAGTCCTTAGTCCAGAGAATTGAGACACATCATAGCAACCACTTTCAGAGCTGTAAGAGTGATGTGGAGTGCAGACAAGCAATAATACCATAATAATTGGGAACTAAACATACAGGAGTGAAGATTTGGGGAAAAAGCTGCAAATTAAAAAAGAAATAAATAATTCAAAACCTGCTGTAAGAACATCCATGAGGAGAGAACAATCGGCTCTTATTCCTACCTCTGGAATAGTTTTAAGCTGTGCAGTGAAAAAGGATTGCTGCTACAAACCAGGTGTCCAAGGTACTGCCCACAGCCCTCGGTGTAAAGCCTCTGTGTCGCAAGGAAAGGCACTCTCTGACATTTTCAGCATTAAATGGGAGGTAAGAGAAAGAGGAGATAAAAGCATAATCCTCTCTAAATGAACGCAACTGGGCAAGCACGGTCAGTATTGGGAAGCTTAGCCTCCCTCCACCATAGCTCAGCCTGGGCGACTTTTACATCTGGCCATCATAAACAAACAAAGCTGCCGTGTTTCCTGATCACTGGGAAAATATATTCTACTTCAGTAAGTGAAATATTCAAAGAAAACCCCCGTATTTTCCATTTAGTACGTTTGCACCTCTTTGAAGCATTCAGGAAGAAAAATAACAGAGGAAGCATGCAATGTAACCTTGATTTATGCAACTGTAAAGAGCTGGGGAGTAAAGAGCTCAGGAGTTATTAATCACATCTATCACTGGCAGCATTAATCGCCTGGTGGCGGAAATCCTAGTGGACCCCATTTGCTGAGTAGTCCTCTCAGAGGCAATTGAGAATTTGTGAATTCGTGTTATTTTTCATCTCCCTACAGAAAATCAGTGGTCTGAAGAAATGGACAAAGCCGGTAACTGAACCACCTAGCCCTGTCCCTCACTGGAGCGCCAGTGTTTACTCGCGATGCTTCACGCTCAGAAGATCTAGTTCCCCTTCTTCAATGCCAAAATAAATACCAAAGGAGCCCCAGCTTGTTTAGAAATGCATCACTTTTTCGGTATTGGCAACTATACAGAAGGAACTTATTTGAGGAGGCCATTCATCAGTCTTCAGATTTGAAGGAACAGCGTAGCTGCACGGAAACAGGGCAGCTTTGAGATTCGGGGTGTTAATGCTTTTCCAATGGCACACAGCCCACTGCGCTTCCAGTGCAAGTCAGGAAAGCAAAGGAAAGGCAAATGGCTCCAGCTCGAGATCTCATTTACTAAATTTGTGTTATAGTGCAGCTAGGAGCTGGGAGGAAAAGAAGAGGACGCAAGAGAAGTCTCCCTTTTACACAAGTATGTCAGTGATCTTGATTCAACTAAAATATTAGGAAACGTTCACTTTCTTTAGTCACTGAAATAGCAGGAAAGTATTTTAATTCTTTGCAAAAAGTTCTGAGTCTCTGTCACTGCAAAACTATATGCTTTCTATTTAATGCTCTTACAGGACATCCTAGTCAGTATATCCTACAGTATAAACTATGTAATGCACCGCTTTAGATGGACACCAAAAATCTGTCTTCTCTGTTTCTGAAATATATTCATTCTTAAGGAAATTTCAAAACATTTTCAGGACAGTTTTATAATTGGGTTTTTCTCTTATATTGCAATATACTAACAGTGCCCTCCATAGCAAATTTTTTTTATGTCTATTGAATACATAAGAAACAGTCTTATCACCATATTCCATGTGATGTAAAACTAAGCATGAGTCTGAAGGCCCAATACTCAAATGAAACATTTTCACCAATTGAAAATATTCTCTAAAATGCTCATATTTTAGCAAATATAAATTATTTAACAGTCAAATTTTTGCCATAAATTATTTAAGGAAGTCAGATTTGCAAGCCACAAAAGCACCAAGGTCTCAGAATGCTAGTAGATAAATAATGAATATCTACCAGAGGTCCTTGGAACTGAAGAAAAACCCAGTCAGAACTGTGTCACAGCTAGGTGAGTTTACAAGTCGGATAATACATTTCAGAAGAATTCAAAATTGGCAACAGATCTTTTTAAACTGTCCAAAAGCAAAACCTCAGAATTACAATTTCAAAGAGTCATTTTCATTTCAGTAACAAGTCAAGATGGAAATATTGTGAGAGCAGAAACTGCAGCTGAAAACCAAATGGAGGTCAGAATTCAATAAATAGCTCAAAAGAGATAAAGAAAAGTCACAACATAAAGCAAAAAAGAGAAGGGTGTTTTTTTTTTTTTAAAGCAGGAAATTGTGGAGAGTGGAAGAAAAAGAGAAACAACAATGAAGTGTTTTGAATATCGTAGTATTGCTTCTTGCTGGTAATTGATGCAGCTTTCCCAAGAGCTGCTGAGAAGTGACTGCATGCACTGATTCGAACTGTAAAAAAATACAAAATACAGCAGAGAAAGCTAAATCTTCATTGTCAAAACTCATCAGAAGTGTATGCAACACAAGGGGTGTCAAGACAAGCAGGAAAGGATGACTTTTTATCTAACACTGCTAGCTGCCCAGCCACTTGCCTTCCCAGGCACAAACACCACATCCAGCTCAGCACCGGCAAGGAGACCCACTCCGGCAATCAGACCTGAGGTAGTTACAATGGAGATGAAACTACTCAGGTGCTTTAAGGCTGGGCTGAGGAGGGGGAGGTCACGACGTGATTTGCATCACGTTCAGCTCATTTCCAAGCAACAGATTCACTGAGTCTTCCTGCTGCGGCAATAAGCAATGTTTACTCGGAGAGCATTTTTCGGATCAGCGCGGGAAGGAACATGTGTTCATCCACCGGAACTGGGTTCACACAAGGAATTAGGTCCCAGGTTGTTGATTACCTTTGGCAACAGCCAAAAAAGGTTTGCACAAACTCAGAGGAGAAGGAAGACTAGAAAATAGAAATCTAAAGAAACAAGGCTGTTTTTTAAAGGTAGGTAAGTTGTATGAATGGATCCTGACTGACCCTGTCAGAATGGCTTATTTTTCTAAACAGGAATCAGTGTTTCCTCCACAAAATCATAGTTATCTGGCCATGACAAGCTACTAGGACAACAAGAACTTGTTCATTTTTGAGCATCTGCCTCACATTTTAAGTAGAAGTTATTTATAGCAGTTTGCAGACACAAAAGTCACGATTTTGTCATAAACAATGAAAATCACAGCAGTGTGACCTCCACGCTGTCCTACAGAAACAGACCTCTTTGTCCCTGCTGCACTGAGACCTGAAGCATCCACAAAAGGTGAGGTTGCTTGTGGTAGCACCCCATCCATAACTATGCCTCCGGTAGTACAAATGACAAAACGGGCTATAACCAACCTTGTAATCTACTGCTCTTGTTTAATCCAGGCTTGGCAAACTTCAAAACAGGTATTTTTAAGGTGTAATTCCTGTCAGAGATCTTTTAACATGCTATTCCTCATTAGTAGTTGTTATATTAAACAAAGCTCATACCCCGAAAAGGAATTTTTTAGCCTATTTAACTGTCCAGGGTATACTAATGTTCATATACCGCATTTCTAATCTAAAATGAAGGTGCTTTAGAAGTCATTCTCCTTTCTGGTGGGCAGCTTATTTTCTATACAGACAGAAAAGCATTATGATTTTTTTTTATCCTTCTTAGTGCTTTTTAAAAAAGTAACACTCCCCCCCCGAAAACTAAGCTATTTTACTATCTGTACCGTACTAGTTACACAGTATTTCTTAACTACAGAAGTCCTGTATGTGAAGTATGATGGCTTATTTCAAAATACTGATTTTCCTCCACTTTGGAAAGTACTTGGGCTTTAGGTACCCTGCAGTAGGAAGTCTGGGGTTCTTTTCAAACAAAAGCTCACTGCTGTTCAGAGAGCAAGAGCTTTGTTTACTACAGCTTTCTGTCTGAAACACTTTCCTCATCCTTTACACCTATTGATCCTCTATGTGCTTCCAAATCCTCCTGAAAAAAAGTGTGTTCTTGAGCCTTCCTCTTTATTCCTTACTCTCCAGTTTATTGTTATTATTTATATGTCTGTCAGACACTGTGCTAGTGTTTTTCATACAGGCAGAAACATAATCGCTTGGTGTTTTCTCTGATACTAATTCCTTATAGAAAGCAGTTAGATTTTAGCAATTTGATCTTCAGCTTAACCTGGCCTAAAGATTGTGTAGTCTGAACGCCGAGAGGGTGTTAACACAACTGGAAACACGAGGGCATGAGAAAATAACATTGGATTAGAAAAGCAAATCTTACAGCAAATTACATCTTTAATGAAAAAAGCATGTGTGAAACAAACTATTAGTTAAATTAGTTGCCCCTGCTCCTGGAGATGTATAAAGGCAAGTCTGCAGAAAAATAAAATCTGGTATTTACGGAGAACTGGCTCCTTCCTCTTCCTGGTTGAAGAGGATCCCCCCTGGACAAGGGGATCGAGTGCACCCTCAGTAAGTTGGCAGGAGTGTCAATCTGCTTGACGGTAGGAAGGCACTACAGAAGGATGTGGACAGGCTGGATCGATGAGCCGAGGCCAATGGTATGAGGTTCAACAAGGCCAAGTCCTGGGTCCTGCACTTGGGTCACAACAACCCCATGCAGTGCTACAGGCTTGGGGAGGAGTGGCTGGAAAGCTGCCCGGCAGAGAAGGACCTGGGGATGTTGGTCGACAGCTGGCTGAATATGAGCCAGCAGTGTGCCCAGGTGGCCAAGAAGGCCAAGAGCATCCTGGCCTGTGTCAGAAATAGTGTGGCCAGCATATCTAGGGAAGTGATCATCCCCCCTGTACGTGGCACCGGTGAGGCCCCATTTCAAACACTGCGTTCAGTTTTGGGCCTCTCACTACATGAAAGACATAGAGGTGCTGGTGCTTGTCCAGAGAAGGGCAACAAAGCTGGTGATGGGTCTGGAGCACAAGTCTTATGAGAAGCGGCTGAGGGAACTGGGGTTGTTTAGCCTGGAAAAAAGGAAGCTGACGGGAGACCATATCACTCTCTACAGCTACCTGAAAGGAGGTTGTGGAGAGGTGGGGGTTGGTCTCTTCTCCCAAGTAACAAGCAATAGGACAAGAGGAAATGGCCTCAAGTTACGCCAGGGGAGGTTTAGATTGGATACTAGGAAAAAGTTCTTCGCAGTAAGGGTTGTTAAGCGTTGGAACAGGCTGCCTAGGGAAGTGGTAGAGACACCATCCCTGGAGGGATTTAAGAGATGGGTAGACGTGGTGCTTAGAGACATGGTTTAGCGGTGGTTTTGGCAGGTTTAGGGTGATCGGTGGGCCTGATGATCTTTAAGGTCCCGTCCAACCTAGAGAATTCTATGATTCTATGATTACATGTTACTTCTACAAAAAACCCAGACTTAATCTGCGGAGGAGTAGTTGATGCACATCCAGAAGGAAGCACAAGGTAGATCTAAATCTTCCTCCTGTTCCAGATGACAGAATAACTTATTTCAGAGCTTCTCCACAGCAAAACCAACTCAAGCTCTTCCCAAGTCCAGGCTCTGCTCTTTGTAAAGAATTCCCAACCACAGTCTCATGGAGATGGTGGGGTGATGGAACCACCATAATTGATTAGTACCATCCAAAGAAGACTTATGCATGGAGCAAAGATCTATGACATTGCCAACTCTTGCATTATTTTCTTGACATGCCTAAGGTAAATGATTACTGCATTAAAGCCTCACTGTAAACAAAAGTACCTAGTTCTTAAAGAAGCAAGAGAAACGAGCATGAAAATGCCAATAGACTTTACCATAAAAGCTGAAGATAGCAGAAGGCAAATAAAAATGGGATTAATTTTTTTTTTTTTGTAGATCTAAGTGATTTCTATCTTACAGTCTCATTTTGGTAGTTCATGGTTGCAATTATAAATCTGCCACAGTCAAGATCTACCAGTTTTTATGCTGATGGGAAAAGACTCTAGAGTAGCACAGAAAGAGGACTGTAGTGTTGCTGCAAGAATCCAGTTGAGGGTTTTTTTTGTGATTAATGAAGACAACTTCAATTAAACTTGAAACTAAAAGTAGTAGGCAGGACTCCACCTGGAGTACTGTGTCCAGCTCTGGAGCCCCCAACATAGGAAAGACACGGACCAATTGGAGCAGGTCCAGAGGAGGGCCACAAAGATGATGAGAGGGCTGGAGCACCTCTCCTATGAAGACAGTCTGAGAGAGTTGGGGTTGTTCAGCCTGGAGAAGAGAAAGCTCTGAGGAGACCTTAGAGCAGCCTTCCAGTACCTAAAGGGGGCCAAGAGGAGAGATGGGGAAGGACTTTTTACAAGGGCATGTAGTGATAGCATGAGGGGGAATGGCTTCAATTGGAAGAAGGTAGATTTAGATTAGATATTAGGAAGAATTTTTTCATTTTGAGGGTGGTAAGGCACTGGACCAGGTTGCCCAGAGAAGTCGTGGAAGCTCCGTCCCTGGAGGTGTTTAAGGCCAGACTGGATGGGGCTTTGAGCAACCTGTCCCTGCCCATGGCAGTGGGGTTGGAACTCAATGATCTTCAAGGTCCTTTCCAACCATTCTATGATTCTATGAAATTATATGTGGTATTGAGATGCTAAAGAAATAGCAACAAATAACACCAAACAAACAGAAAGAGGACCCAAGTTTTAACCACTATGAAAAAACTCACTCGTCCAAAGAAAATGCAAATTTATAACTCATTTTATCCCTAAAAATGCTATCAAGGTGAATTCCATCTGATTGTACAGCACAATTATTTCACAGATTCATTACTTCAAATGAATAGAGGTCATTTCAAAACCTCACATATCCTAGCAGCCAACCTTTTTGAGAAAAGCCTGTCTTTCCAAGAACCTCTGCTTGCCTTTTCCAAACAGGGGGCAGAAATCCACACACCCTTCCCTCTTGTAACAGCAAGCTAAAGTAACACTGGCGTGAAGCTCATTACTATCGTGGAAATAAAGGAAACAATAGAACAGAAGGAAATATGAAACACAGCCAGCAGAGCTTGTCACAGGTGGCACTGTGAGTATTAGGTGACCCACACATCTTTGAAGATGGCCATTGTGGAGGTTTTGTGAAAGAAACAGTGCTGACTCATCACCGCACTGGAAGTAGGAATGAGCTAACAGTGATACGATGTCAGCCTCATCACTTAAGAGAGAGAAAGCTTTTGTTTGCCCCTGCAGCGTGCGCCCAAGGGCTGCAGCAGCTAGCAGTATAACCCACCTGTTCTCCTCCTCCAGGTCCGCGAGGATTCTCTCCAGTTCCCCTCTTTCCTCACTCTCCAGAGAAATCAAGATCTGGGCAGGGCTTCGGGGCTGGCTCAGGGGGGACTCCTGGTTCAGACTTTGGCAGTAGTGCTGGATTAACAAGTGTTCATCGTCGCTGGAAAACAGAGGAGGATAAAACAGGCTGTTCCCTTCCTCATTTTTAACTTTGCAGTGAATATGAGGAGATGATTCACTCGCAGTCTCTCATTTCTTACAAAGAGATTTGCTGAACTCATTGCAATGAACAGCAGAGCAATGTACCTTAAAGCAAAATCTGCTGAACTGTTTCACTTAGGCTCTGATAATTTTCCTTCTCTGCAGAGTCCACCTCTCTTCCCCTCTGGTTCTCAGATACTTAAAAATTTTGTTTTGTTGCAGCTGACAACCTCAGCTTTCCTCTTTTGCCTAACTTCAATTAGGAATTTGCTTGAGAAAAAAGGCCATCTGCTGCTGCCTGATCTGTGCTGGGGAAGGACAAGTCAAGCAAAGGCAAGGCATTTATTTTTACACCTACAAACTCTCCTTATGTAATAAAGGTGTCCTCTATTTATCTATTTTTCTCTAGAAAATTGTAAATGAGGTAAAATAAAAAAATATTAATCTAATGAAATTACGCTGGTTTTCACTGAGTGCTTTTTTTTGAAATTACAAGTGATGTACGCTGTCAGAATACAAATAAATTCTACTTAATACATACGATCTCTTTCTTTATTACTATGGCCCCTGAAGCTGTCTGGCATTTGAAACAGAAACATCTCTATAAGAGAAAGGCAAATTCAGTTCTGGAGACCTCAACCACCTCTAGAATTACATGGGTGTTTTAGGTGCTAAGGAGATGCCCCCAGGCCCTACACTATGCAGCTAACACCAGCAAGAACCGTGGGAAACCATGGAAAGTTTCTCTTGATACCACAAGTCAAGGACAGAAAAAAATGATGCTGCTGTTAGGAATCTTGTTTTTCAGGCAGTACTTACTAATAACAAAATAATTTAGTCTCATTTTTTCTGTTACATTTGTAATCCAGAATCTAGCAGGCATTTTGAACAGCTGTTATTGTTCAAAAATTAGAATTTTCCTTGTTTTCATTTTGTTCCTGAAAATGTTAATGATGCCATTTTATAGACTGCAGGAGTGCTAAAGCAATGTAGAGCACATTAACATTAATTCATAAAAGGCAAATAGTCATTTTTCACAACAGGCATCGTTTCCTTTTTCTAAACAAAATCTTAAAGGCTTGACAGTTCCTAAATTCATACTTTTAATAAAACACTTCAACTGTGACTTCCTTGAAACAACTCCTTTACATTTATAAATATTCTTATGCATCTTAAGTGAATTAACAGTGAGAAAGTGACATAACTATTGCAATATAATGTCACTTTGCAAGACATACCCTTTCTCTGTGATTTTCAGCCTGCACATATTCGGTATACATAATTGCAATGAAGCTACATATCAAAATATTTTGTGTTATATATACACATTATCTCTTCATTTCCCTCCTTCCCCGTCTCCATCTATGGTTCTAACTGCACTTATAAGCCTGATAATCCGAAACCTGTAAGAATGTCAACAAATAATACTTAAACATAACCTGAAAAACAAAACTGCAAGAACTACAGTTGTGAATTCAGGGTGAGCTTTGATTTTGCTGCCATTTGCATCTGGATCATATTTCTTCCAAAATTCAGAATGTAGAGATTTATTCTCATTTTAATAGTACAAACTAAGTAACAAACTGGATACTCTTAACTTATTAACTGATATTGATATGACTTTTGTTTAACCAAAGAATGAACTGAACAGTAAGACCAAAGTGTAACATAAAAGATAATTCTTATGTATCATTTTGTGATTAAGGACACTGAAATATTAGAGTGGGGACAACAGGAAATTCTCTATATAATAGCATTACTGCTATCCATAGCAATTCAAAATTGACATGCAACTTGGAAACAAAGTTTTCATTAACTGCGTGAAACTATACTGACATTGCGTATATTAAGTTTTGAGGTGTCATTTTAACTTTCTCTTTTTGAACCAATCTAATCTATTAAAACAATGTACTTGGTTGTACAGGCGATTTTCTTTCAGAGTTGGTAGGTAACAATCCTACTAAGTCCAAAGAGAAACTATTTTAAAACAAAGAAACAGCTTTATTACTATCCAAGAACATCTCACAGGCTCACAACCAACCTTATAAAATACAAACTATTTGGAATCTCAATTTAAGTGAATGAAAACTGGCCAGGGTACTGTGCTTTAAAGGAACGCTACAAATTTAATAAAAGGAAGATTCTGTCTGAATTTTCAAAAAAATCCACCCTTTAAATTGGGGTAAGGATGAGATTATGTAGAATAGAAAAAAACCCCACACTTCTAGAGAAGTTGAGATTTGAGTTTTTTCATATTTGATTGATTCAGAATCTGACCAAATTTTCAAGCACAACAATGACTTACGTGCTTCTATCCTGTTTCCAGAAACATTAATCACAGTTAGTTTTCTAGTTCTATGTCCTTTCATTCAGAGAATAAACAAGATCAAGAAAATCATGAAAGAGGAGAAATACATTGTCATGTCAGAAAACCACAAAAAGGCCTCGGTTTGACATTTGACTCAACTACTTTTTAAAAATTAAAACTTTTGTTTATAGGTTTACATTTAAAGTATTAAAATGAATACTTGTCAGTGATCTATCCAACTTAAAGTTTACTACTTCTAAGATTTCACAGTGAGGATGAGTCCCTCCTGGCTTCCAAATGTATTTCAGGTATTTGTAGACCAAAGATTTTTGTTTAGCCCCACTAACCTTTTGAGTGACATTTTGCCCACAACAACATTTTCTAGCTGACAGCAATTTAAACATGATTAAGCTTGCAGTTCAGATATAAGAGTTATCTTTTTATCTTTTCCTTAAAACACATCAGATGATGAGCATTTTTTCCAAGGAATATGGGAACTATTTGCTGAAAAAAAAAAGTAATTTTTTGGAAGAAACTAGGAATTTTAATTTTGAAGGTATCAATCATCTGTCGCATAAATTTGGTATTAAGCTATAAGCCATAAAGCTAGACACTATGATACAAACTGAAAGAACAAGAGTTCATCATTAAATTGAACCAGATGTGGTACATGGCCATGCAAATTTAGTGCTACAGAATTTCACTACAAGTTATTAACCTTCACAAGAAAACACATGTCAAAAATATTAAAACAGCCTACTTACATGCTCTCATTAGGTGAAATACTGTCATTTAGATAAGAACCATTGGTGTTCTCCATTTCTGCTAGCCTGTGGAAAAATAAACAAAACTCATTAAAATCAATTATGTTTTCTAGAAACTTTATTTGCTCTAACATTCCTGAAAGAATTAAGGAGCATGACGTTTTTTATGAATTTGAAATTCAAATTAATTTACACCTATTGTTGATTACCAAAAAGTTTTGCAATCAGCTATCGCAAAGGATTGTTTATTTGCTACAATGACCTGGCTAAACTCACTTCTAAGTTTTCAACCCATTCTCTGAGGTTATATTCCACTCCTCATGATTAATTAATTCCACAGTCAAAGAAAGGCTTTAAGATGCCAGGGGATTACACAAATTGCTTCGTACCTGGCAACGTCATCATCAGAACTGTAACGATCAGTCATTTCTCATTGGTTTTCAGCACTCAGCCCCTCCTAAACATCCTGCATAATTCAGAAATACCTCTCTCGATCAAGTGATTTTTTTGCTTGCCTGGTGGAAAAACATTTTCATATTTGTGCAATTAACCCAGTTTTTGATTCTTAAGAGCAGTGTGAAAGCAGACAAGTGAACTAAAGCAGCAATATACCACTATTTTAATCCTCCAAATCAAGGAAAAGTCCTGTTTGTAGTATTCCACAAAGTGAATTACTTAACATTAAAACAGCACTTGAGATTCACATAAAATTTGGAGGTTTCTGCTCTTCTGATTTGTGCGACTACCCCAGGGTCTATATTAAAAACGAAACCCTACGTAGAATCAGAGAATCACAGAATCGTTTTGGTTGGAAGGGACCTTTAAAGGTCATCTAGTCCAACCTCCCTTCAATAAGCAGGGACATCTTCAACTAGATCAGGTTGCTCAGAGCCCCATCCAACCTGACCTGGAATGCTTCCAGGGCTGAGGTGTCTACCACCTCTCTGGGCAACCTGTGCCACTGTTTCACCACCTTCATCGTAAAAAAATTCCTCCTCATATCTAGCCTGAATCTATCCTCTTTTAGTTTAAAATCATTACCCCTTGTCCTATCACTACAGGTCCTATTAAAAATCCAGTAACTTGAGTGCACAGCTTAACGAAGACCCCACAGGACCTAAAGGCCACTTCTGACCACACAGGTTCTCTGGCATGCAAGTTAGTTGACAGGCTGGTTAGCAGCAACCACAGGCCATGCTCTGCATCCCAGAGCCTGGAAAGCAAAACCCCAGACCCTATGTTTCTTTAAAGAAGTGCTCAGGTAACAGCTAGCCTTTGGGATTTTTATTTATTTATTTATTTTAAATGATTGTTTAGAGAAAGATTTGCCTAATGTCCAGCTGGTGTCATACCTGCTAGCATAATGTTCAATGCGTGAATGAGTATCATCATGTGAAAGCTGAGGGGACGAGGCAGGCCTATAAGGCAGAAAACACTGATTAATCACAAACAATACCCCTTTAAAAGTAAAAAGACACAGCGATGCCTATACCCTCACATCTCCATGCCTTATGCTTACGCTATGTTTGATAAACAGCAAGTTGTAACTCCAGGCGCTGTGTGCGCCTCCTCAAGCCGTCGGTGCAATGTTTTGTGATACCACACTGGGGATTTTGACCATTTTGCAATCTGTCTGTTGCAATGACTCTTCTTCACAGCAATCCCCAAAGAAACCTTTTCCAGAGGATTTACGGATGAGCTTTCACCCCGATTTTCCCTTCACACCTGCCTCCTTCATTGGTGGTTCTGTTTCATGCACAGCCCTGCGCCGGCTGCGAAAGCCCTGCGGGGAACCTCTCCTCTGCCTCCCACCCTGCTCCAGTGCCTGCTTCCAAAAAAGAGCCTTTAAGGACTACCCCACAAGTCACTAGAAATAAATACAAGAAACATAAAATGTCTGAAATGAGCCTTTAATAACACACTGCAGAAACTGATGATTTTGCCTAGCATCTTTCCAGAGTTGTAATCTGAACTGTAGATCAGTGTGTTATACAGGAGGACACTGTCAACTGCTTTGGGTTCTCTGCCTGACAAATCAGATGGTATGAGGTCCTCTCCACTTTTTTGTTGATGAAAACAATTCATAGGACTTTTCTCATGAATTAGAGTACTGTTTCTTACAGCCTCAACTCTGGAGAACGTCACCACTGAATTACATTTCCTATGGAGTTCAGAGAGCACCCTTTGCTGCTGTGTGGGATTTTGCCAATCTGCATGCATCAAGAGGTTCTGGAATAACAAAAAATTATGCAGCTTCCCAAATTGTACGGCTAGCTCGTATTTTAGCTAAATTTCACCTTCTCTGTATTCTGTCTCTGCCAACTCTCCTTCTGGAACTCCTGACTGAGGAAGGACTTTCTCTCATTTTAAATCGTTCTGAACGGTGGTTCAGACTGGGTCTGCCCAATGGGGATTGCACTGCATCGCAAGAGCAGGTAAGTTTTATATTTACTGGTTATAAACCAAAACTGTAACAATCTTGTGGTTCATAACACTCCCGTGTTAGGAGTTTGATAATCCTGCAGTAAAGCTACTAGATTGGTCATCTTCCAGTTTTCTTATCAGCCTGCACAAGGCTCTAGAAAATTAGGATCCTTCTGAATTCAGCTTTATTCTGGGTACACAAAATGCACGATCATTAACGTCTCCTACTCACAGAACAGCAAAGTTTTTCTCTTTAAGACATTACAGGCCAAGTATCACAAATCTCATTTTGTCTGAAATGAGCTTTGGCCTCCGACTGTACTTTTACCCGTCACATGTTCAAACATTACCACAGCACACCAGAGGATAAATACTCAGTTCACAGTTCCTCAGTACAGCAGCAATTCATGCGGATGGGCAATTGCTTCTCTGCAACTTGATATCCTGTTTTGTGTAAGAACATCTACACTGAAGGAAAGGGAGGGGAAAAGGACGCAATTTATCTAGAGCAGTGGATTATGGAGCAAGATAACAATGGTTTCCTGATAAATTGATGCTATTACCTTTTTTTTATTTGACATACAGTAGATGTTAAGCTGGTACTACCAATGAAAGAAGAGGCCTTGTTTTCAACATACACACAAATGCTGCTAATACTGTGTGCAAACTAGGAAATCTGTGTTAAAAGTAGCTTTAGTTTTGAGCTGGATCGTTCTCCTAGTCCCTCCTACCCTGGCACTGCACAACTGTTTGTACCAGTACAATGGAAAGGACAGCCCCTGGTTGGGACCAACTGGGCGATGAAGAAAAGTGATGGCCCTTTTGGCAGTAGTGCAAGGCAAAAGATGGTCCTGACTCCATGATCGCATACTCGCTGCCTTGAAACTAAGCTTCACTTTCAGAAGTGAACAAGGTGTGTAACATGGAAGTATTTTAAAGATGCAGTGTTGTGCAACTTGCTGGAGCTGCTTCTGTCATTCCGTCAACTGCAGGCAGGGGATGAGGCTACATTTCCAGGTTTATCTCCACTTCAGAACATGCTACAATGGAAATCTACCTCAAACAGCTTTTTAAAAGTTTGCTTACAAAAGCAAACCTGTTGAGAAGCACTGCAGTCTCCGTGTTGAATTTAGCTGCTCAGAGGTACACTTTTGCCAGTATCTGGGCCAGCCTGAAAACGACTGTGACCGTCTGTGCTAGAGCTCACTGTCCTTCCTTTCTGAGCACACATACTCAGATCACCTAATCAGTTTGAACAGTCAGCAAGAAGACTGGGAGACATAGCCAATATTTAGCCAAGATAACCATCACTTTTACAAGGGCTCCACAGCTGCGTTGCTCAAGCTGGGGTCTGCAGGAACAGTCTGGGGAATTCCAGTCAAGTGAAGAGGCGACTGAGTGGCAAATACCACCTCCTGCAACTCCCTGCACCCTCAGAGACCTGGCTGGCAGGACGTTTCTTGCTGTTAAGCCCTTCAGTTGATGCTTCTTGAAAGTGTAGAATGAAGTAGATCGTATTTGTGCCACTGTCAGCCCACAGTCGAAGTAATAAGACATAAATTCTCACAAAAAGTGCGAGTTGCCCCTTTAATGCCTGACAAGCAGAATATCTGTGCAAAATACTGGATAAAGTTGGAATCACTAATTTCTAAAAAAAAAATATGTATGTATGTATTTATAAACAGCTCCAGATATGATAGCACTGGCATTGCTGAATGCTGCTAGGTTATGCTTTTCTGAAGTACTTCGAAAATTACCAGCAAACTGGCATGAAAGGCAAGATCTAAGAAAACATGGAAAAGTTTTATGATAATCAGAATAAGAGGTCTGACTGCCAAAGCTGGGATCAGCCCTGTAACTGAGAAACAGCTTTAAACCTGGCTAGATCAGTACTTGTGTTGTACCCCTGGTGGTCTACCACTAAGGAAAGGAACCAACTTAGCAGAACAAACCAAAGAGCAATTCTTTCCAGACACTATTCATTTCTTAATTTCCTGCTGTCTTGTCAGACCAGACAAAGGGATTGTGCTGAGGAAGACACCTGAGTTGGGCTGATAAAAGGTGCAACGTCTCTGTAAAAATTCTGCTTCTCAGTATTTCTCAAGTTTTCTTAGGTATTTCATGCAAGTTAAACTCCCTGTAGTAGATGACGCCAAACCTTTGGCGTGAAGCTATCAGTGTAGGCATACCATGATGTTATTGCTGTAAGTGAACTAGAATTAAGCATGTTATGGCAGCTTAATTTCATGTTATGTCAGACAAAGCAATGGCATTCCAGATTATCCAAGCTTTCTCTAAATGTTACTTTTAACTTTTCAGTTGTTCTAAAGCATAAGGAATCTAGCTCCACAGTTGAGTATATAGTATGCTGCAACCACCCCCAGATGCATTTATGAATGAAAACGCATCCTAAAGTTCGAAGCCCCTTTACTTCAGTGTGGCTCCAGCCTTTTGGCATTCTTTGTGGGTGAATCCTCAACCATACGATGTTTGCAGTACTACATGCATTTCTTGGTTGCTTAAAGCAAATTTCTGAGAGGAAGAGCACTTCATTTGACTTCCCAATTTTTTGTGCTTCAAAGGAAAAATATAAATCAATATTCAAATGTAGACATTTCACGCCTGTTTATTCTACCAAAAATTCAATGAAGGTCCAAGCCACATACATGTCACCATATAGAAATATATAAAATTCTATTTATTAGTTTCTCAATAGTTATTAATATGTGAATTAAAAATAATCCTTATTTAACATTATTCTAAAATCATCCACTAAACACTAATAGTAGCAAATGCCACAATGATAAGTAAATATATCTTTAGTTTATGCTGAGGGTATCACTACAATAGTAAGACAATGCACGTGCAGGAATGGGGCAAGAACGAAATTCCAGTTCATAGCTGAAAAATACTGCCTTTTTAAATTCTGAAAAAAATACAGTAAACATTTCCCCATTTCAACCTGCCTTCGTAAATTTTACTGTTTCTAAAAAATTGTAATAAAACATCCAGTGAGCTTTGGACTAATTGGACCATGTGAGTGTGTGGGTGTGCACAGTTGCGTGTATAAACCAATTTATAGCTTTAACTCCAAAACAACGTCATTCCTGAAACTGAATTATATCCATCAAGTTCAATTTATATCTTTCAAAAAGCATTTAGTATACATTCAGAGGGATCGACACTTATTCAGTAACACAGGCTTTTCAACAACAAACTCTCATAAGCATTAGTAGGACTGCACCAAAATCCCTGTTAATTCGATGAAGATACATACTCCAGAAAGAGCATACAGTGTGGAATCCACAATTGCTGGGAATTCCTTGATTTATCCCATTCTATTCATTTGGGATCAAAACCTTCCTTCAGAGAGTGTACCAAAGAAAATAATCATAAAGAAAGAAGGAAATGAACTTATGTAAAACCAAATAAAGAAACAAACAAAAATAAAAGTGAGGGAACGCAGCAGCAGTAGCAGCAGCAGCAGCACACTTCAGCAAAAGTACTCACGCAGAATCTACTGGCCAGAAGTTGATCAGAGTAACAGGACTGCAAGACAAAAAATGAGGAGGTGAAGAGAGAGGCAGAGGAAACTTAGCAGCAAAATAATTACAGAAAGGTTTTAAAAAAATAAAATCACAACAACTAAAAACCAGAAATCGAACAGACCAACATGAATGACTGTGAAGAGCAACCAACCAAAAAGTGAGAAAAAAATTGAAATCTAAAATTAAAAAAAGAGAGAGAAAGAGAAAGAGAGAGAGCGAGAACAAGCTGCGTGCAATTGCCATTAAACAACTGATTAAACTTGTAAAAAAATAAAACCAAAGAGAAATGGGTTACTCATTGATTTCTCCATGTGCATTATTATTGCTTTTTTTTTCCCCCCCATAAATACTTCAAAGTCATTTAATAAGACTAAATTTATAGGGTGAGAAAAGATTAAATCAGCTGGGAAGCTTGCAAACACAGTAGCCTAATTAAAAAAAATAAAAACACAGAAAGACACCCATTTGGAAGAAAATAAAACTTTAATGAAGAGATCATTAGTCTCCAAATTGCCATATCAAACTTTGAAGTTTATAAGGCTGTCAGTAAGGCGGTTAAGTACTTTTCTTTTACTAACTGAAGCTGAAGTTGCTGTATAAGGACAGGTGAAAACAGATTAAAGCAATGGCAATTGGAACCCCAGCTTGTGTTTTCCTGCCAGCCGAGGTTAACAAAAATGAAAAAAAATAGAAAGGCTTTATGCATTTAGGAAGTAAAGGGAGTTGGCACCAGCTGGGGAGCTCAAAGAGCATACCAAATGAATTGCTACTTAGACACTTTAGAGCTACTCACGTTTCCATGTTGTCTCCCTCCAAGACTGTTTGCACAGGCAGGTAGCCCATTCGTGGGTGCTTTGCAAAATATCTTTTTGTTCGAAATTTGTTTTTTAGTACCTTGGCAAAGTCACGGACGTCTTCTCCTGAAGTTGTCTGAAAGCCACAAATCACAACGAAATCAACTTTCATGAGGTTATTACTGTTTTTTTTGGTTGCCTCTTCTTTTGCTGGGTCATTTAGAAGAGCTGCGGCCACACCAAGCAGAGCTGCCAATGGCTTGACCTCTGGAACTACACATTTTTTTTATTTATCACCGTCACCTTACAACATACTACACAGCGCCACTACTAGTGGGGAGGAAGGAGGAAAAATGGAAGCTCCAAAAACCCCTGACAGGCTCATGCCTCATCTCAGGTGATTTCAACAGGACAAACATCAATTAGACAACAATTTATCATTTCCTCATCTGGCTCAGGGGACTCTGCCTGCTTTTTGTTCAGCACTAAAGTGGCTGTAACGGAGGATACACAGCTGGTTCGTGTGTCCAGCTAGTTGCTTCACTGGCTGGATCCTGACTCTTACCACATGCTCATCATCTATATCTCATGGACTTGTCAGTCCACAAAAGTCAGACCTCTACTCTCAGTACGTCTTCTTTTCAGTTTCCCGTCTCAGTCTCCTCTGCCATTAATATTTTGATCAAAGAGAAAGAAAAAGCAGGTGAGAGCTGCTGAAAGCTCTTAGATCAGTTATTTCTTCCTGCGCCTGTTTAATCTGAAGCTAGCAGGCATTTAAGATCAATACCCTGAGGAGAGTACAATTTGTACAAAGTTTTCTACTCCCATGCCTGTGGTCCTTCTCCTTTGCTGCTGTAGAGACCAGCGGAGGAGCGCAAAGTGGAATTAGTTTCCTAAAGACCAGAATGAGCCAGGAAGAGTTCAAAGGACGTCTGCTGGGAAGATGCAAAACTTCTTGCGAGCCTGATTAAGAGTCGGGCAATTTTCTGAAGAATTTTAATGGAAGACTTCAGTTATTTTAGTCAGGCTGCACTCCCTTCTCTGCACCTCGCACAGACACTCGACCCTGAAATACTGCTCTTCTACAGTAAATTAAGTTCTTCCTGACCCACATAACGATACTGCTTCTCCAGCGTATCTAATTTGAAAGAAAGAAATGAGGGAAAAGTTAATCTTTCCGACATTTTTTAATGAGTTCTGTGCCTTCTATTTAGAGAGGAAGGAGGTGCCGGCACCTATCAGTCAAGCCAGCCTTCACAGAGCTGCCAAAACAGATGTATATATTTTTAACGATTGCCTGGGTAGAAAAATTAAGGATGCCCTGAAAAATAACGTGCAGAAAGACTGAAATGCATTAACAGAAAGGACAAATGTTATCACTACACTGATGACATGGACAAGCTTCATGTAAAGCTAGAAAGAATTTGGCGCTCTTTCTGGTCAGTCTGTCTGGTAGGAAAATTTGGTGTGAGCAACGACTGGCAGAGAAGTGACACAGCAGAACCTACAAGCCAGTACAGCAGCATCTGTATTTTCAAGAAACTGAGATAATGCTCGATAATATTAAGTATCACTTCCTCAATGCGTCAGAAGTAAAGACATTTTGGGAACGGAGGGATTAAGTATGCCCAGACCATCCAGCAGACTCCAGAAAGGGGATTTACTGAGGTGGCCTCGCATTCCCCGGCAGGAGGGAATTCCCTCTGCCGACTGCCATCTGCAGTGCCTGCTAGGAGAGCTCCTAACCGGGTCAGCATCAGGAGAGCTCACAGAGCACATCAGCTGGGAACAGAGAAAAGCTCTTAATATTTGGTCTCGGTATACAGGGATTAAGCACAGCTTTCTGTTCAGTTTGTTCACCTGTGTCATTTCTAACCAGTAATTCCCACTTTGCCTATTTGCAACGTTGTGAACACTCCCCATTGCATTTGACTGTAATTTGGATTCAGTGTTTTCAGGCACGATTAACAAGAAAACATTCTTTGCTTTGACCTTCCTGGGACTGTTACCCTGACTTGTTTGACTTTTCAGTCAAACTTTCTGATTTATTCCACAGATGTTTTGTTCCAAATAATTTGCAGAGCAAAATCATCCAAAACAAAATTCTCAGCAGAACTGGTTTATGAGGAAGAAACAGCGGACTTTTAGCATTCCAACTCTCATAAATCAAAGCAATACACCGGCAGCTGGGCCAAGCATATTCCATAACTATTCCAAAACCAAAACTATTTCATCACATAAGGAGAACTTTACCCACCATCTGACTTTTCACAGTTTGGTTTCAGAAAGTGACTTGCCAAACTCCCACCCCAGACCTCAGCCCCGACTGTAAACACTAGCTGTAGAAATGTATCTTGGTTCTGACAGGCTTCCTTCTAACAAGGTGGTTTTTATGCTGGTGTGTCACTGTTCGTTAAACCCAAACAGAAAAATGATGTTACATCTAAATCCCAGTCTAGAAGTTGTCTTCTATGCTTTCTTTGAAACCTCTTTAAAAGTCAACCCTCTTTGAACAATAAATTGAACTGTGTTGCTTTTCTGTTTTCTGCCTAAATGAATATTAGGCGACAGCCTTGCCCTTATTCTGCCTCAACCTTTTGCAGGAAAGGAAAAGTTAGCACATCTCTCAGATATTTAGCATGAGTTCTCAATCTCCCCTCAGCACAATTACAGACTGCAGCGCTCCAAAATTTCCTGGAAGTAAGAGGGAGGGTGAATAAAAATATCAAAACACTTCATTGTGCACATCTAGCTATTGCAAAGATATATCTAAGAAGGCACCACATGTCTCCTGCCTGCCTAAATGCATTTTAAGGTGAGAGATTTGTCTGGACGAAGAGGAAAAAATGCTCTGGCACCTGCAACCCCCTTTTCATTAATTTAGAAAACAATTACAGACTAGTCATGATATCTTCCGTCGATGTCTTGTTCGGTCACACAGTATTTGGGCTTATTTTTTCAATAGCAGCAATACAAAAAAAGATCAGGGCTTGCTGTGCGTCACATTCACTTCCCCCCCCCCCGCGCCGCCCCCCACCCCCGCGC